AGTTTTGTATTTTCTTTACCAATTCTTATGCTTATACTTTATTTCTCTTATCTAATCACATTGGCTAATGCCTCTAGTAAAATGTTGAACAGTAGCAGAGATAGTTGGCATTCTTGCCTTGTTCCTGAACTTAGTGAAATGTTTCTAGTGTTTCCACTTTCAGCAACAGGCATGAGCCACTGTGCCCAGCTAATATTTCACTTTTTATTGTTATTGTAGAGTGTATTCCTTCTACATATTAAAAAAAATTAAACTGTAAAAAATACCTCCTAAAAGGCAGGTCCTTCAGGAGATAGTCCAGAAGAAGGCATTGTTATCGTAGGAAATGACAGCTTCATGAAACCTGGTCAATTGATTACAGTGATGTCTACTGCAACCGATTAGATGAAATGAGGAGGATGCTTGAGATTAAGCAGCCGAGATTTAGATGCACAGCCATGCACATGAGAAGAAAAATAAAATAATAATAATAATAAAAAAAAGCAGCCGAGATTGGTCAACAGAGACAGGCCAATCCTCTTGCAAGACAATGATCAACCACATGTTGCACAAACAACGCTGTTCAAACTACAGCAGTTGGACTTAGAAACTCTCTGTCATCCACCATATTCACCAGACTTGCACCAACTAACCACTACTTCTTCCAAGGAAAAATATTCAGTTCTCAACAAGCTGTGGAAAATGCTTTTGGCGATTTCATCGCTACTCACTCTCTAGGCTTCTTTGCTGCTGGCATAGACAAGCTACCGTTAAGATGGCAAAACTGTGATGATAGTTTAGGCTCATACTTTGATTAATTGTACTGCTTCTTGTTTGAGATATATTAAACCAAACTTTTGATTTGAAATTGAATATTTCATATTTAATGGCCTAATATTTACATAGCAGTTGCAATGTATTAGGCATTGCAAGTAATGTAGAGATGATTTAAAGTATACAGAAGGACATGCACAGGTTATGTGCAAATGCTACCCCATTTTATAAAAGGGACTTGAGCATCCACAGATTTTGGTATCCTCGGGAATCCTGGAACCAATCCTCTGCTGATACCAAGGGACAACTGTAGTGGCTCTGAGTCAGGGGGTGAGAGGATGGACAAGGCCGACTTTCTAGTGGGGAAAACACACAAGAAGCAGGGAAACAAGATGATTGCAGATTGATGAGCACTACAAATAAGGAGTTTGCATTTGATGAAAAGATCATTCCAGCTCTAGAGAGGGCCAATTGCCCAAGGAAGTCTGGAGACTGTTTAGGGGACCAAGTAGTAGTCCAGGCAGCAGATGACATAGCCCTGGCCCAGGAAGGAGGCAGTGGGGAGGAGAGGAGGGCATGGATTAGGAAGATCTTTTTGAGCTAGAATCCACAAGGTTTAGTAATAAATTGAATGTTGGGGGCAAGAAAGAAGGTAGACATATTCCCTAATATTCATCTAGGGGAATAGCAACATTCCCCCAGCAGGGAGAATGAAGCAGCCTAAATGAATCTCATCCTAAGGCAGACCTACTGTGTGATTCTATAATATTTACGCAAAGTTCCAAAACAGGCGAAACTAACCTGTGATACTAGAGGCCAGAACGATGATGAACCTTGCAGGGGTGGGGGGTGGCTAGAGACGGGGTGAAGGTGTGGGGAGCAGACAGTGGGGCCACTGGTAATGTGCTGCCTCTCCACGTGGCTGCTGGTTCCACGGGTGTGATCGGAAAACCCACCAAGCTATTCACTTATGTTATCTGTGCACTCTTCCCAGTGGCTGCTGTGCTGCAATAAAAAGTTTACTTACAAAACAATAATTTCCAGGTTTTTTGGTGTGTGGGGGGGAGTTGTTTTTTTTTTCAACTACTGTAAGTAGATAGGGAAAACTGAGGAAGGCACTTATGGGGTTCATGGGGGCAGATGATGAATCCAAGTACAGGTGTCGAAGAGGCAGCTAGGGGTTCAAGTGTGAACCTGGGGGAGTGGTCAGTGCTGGGAAGAGCCTCTGGAGAGATCTAAAGCTGGTAGAATAGACAATTCGGAGAGCAAATGAGGGAGCACACGCAGAGCAAAGGGGCCCAGAACCAGGCCTGGAGGGTCGGCTGCCCTCTGCCTACCACAATCAGGGATCATCACCACTTTCTCCAGCTCCTCCCCCACCTCTCTCCTCTGTACCCCCATGGCCTCATAGACATCCAGCCAGGGCTTGGGAGCCCTGAGGCTCTGGCCCCTTCTCGTACAGTGGCCTGTCCTTCAATACCTCTCTCCTCTCTCTGGTTTTTGTCCACTCTCTGGGACTTCTTATCTTAGGGAGACTCCCTGCCTTTGAAGCCTTCTCACAATCCATTAAAAAAAAAAAGTTGACAAATTGCATTTCACTGAAATTAGAAACTTTTGCCCTGTGAAAGACAATGCTAAGAGAATGAAAAGATAAACTATAGTTTGGGAGAAAATATTTGCAAATCATAAATCCAACAAACGGCTTGCTTTCAGAATCTATAAAGAACTCTCGGCTGGGCGCGGTGGCTCACGCCTGTAATCCTAGCACTCTGGGAGGGCGAGGTGGGTGGATCGTTTGAGCTCAGGAGTTTGAGACCAGCCTGAGCAAGAGCGAGACCCTGTCTCTACAAAAATACAAAGAAATTAGCTGGACAACTAAAAATATATAGAAAAAATTAGCTGGGCATGGTGGCACATGCCTGTAGTCCCAGCTACTCGGGAGGCTGAGGCAGGAGGATCGCTTGAGCCCAGGAGTTTGAGGTTGCTGTGAGCTAGCCTGATGCCATGGCACTCTAGCCTGGGCAACAGAGTGAGACTCTGTCTCAAAAAAAAAAAAAGATCGATAGTTTATTTGTACCAATGGCAACTTCCTGGTTCTAATTGAACTATGGTTATGTGAGATGTTAACATTGGGAGATGCTCAGGGAACAGGACATGAAAATTTTCTAAATTTTTTAAGGGACATCTGTGTGAGTCTAAATTCTTTCAAACCAAAGATATTTTAAAAATATTTTCCCCAGTGTGGAGTGTCGGATCTCCGAGGCTGGCCCTGAGGGGAATGGGCCTGGAAGCCCACCCAGGGGACACGCTCAGGCACAGGTTCTCTGTGGTCTCCCTGACTGACCTCTATCCTTAATTATGGTGGGGAGAGGAGAGAGGTTGAAAACACAGGTGGTCTGGGGAATTCATTCAGTTTCACTGAACACCTCCTCCGTGTCAGGCTTTGTCCAATTCTGGGCCTGGACACATGACAATTCAGAGGCTGGAACTCTCCACTTCCTGGCTGTGTGGCTGGCAGGAAGTTACTTAACCTCGCTGCAAACAACCCAAACTCTGTGTATTAGTTGTTTTTTCATTTATAAAATGAGGCTACTGATCATACCCACTTCACAAGTTTGCTGTGAAGAACACATGAGCTGATTCTATTCTAGCCTCTTCAATAAGCACCAGAAGATGTTTAGGGACGTGGCTATGAAGGCTGCTGGCTTCACTGCTTCCTTTCCGGCAGAGGCCAGCAATACATGAGGGAAAGCATGCGTGAGCATGCACACTCACAAAAACAGCGTGGCTTGATGGAGACCAGGTGGTCAGGGAAAGCCTTGCCACCTCAGGGAGCATGGGCGGTGGCCTGGGGAGTCCACGAAACCCAGCCAGACCAGAGACACCCAGAGATACCTAAAGACCTAGAGACCCAGAGACCAGAGACATCCAGAAAGTCTGAGAGATTCAGAGACTGAAAGACTCAGAGACCCATAGAGACCTAGGGAGACTCAGAGAAACCCAGGGGGACCAAGAGACCTAGAGAAGCCAAGAGATTCAGAGATATTCACATAGTCCCGGAGACCCTGCCCCAGAAAGGCGCAATCAGTGAGTTAAAACTTACCCATCAGGCCCTTGCAGCCCAGGCCTCCTTTCCAGGCTCAGCACCTTGGCGCTGCATTTATCAAGAGAGGGACGGGGGTCATGGTTCCCCGCCCCGTCCTGTGGGGTTTCAGGCCCTGGGGTCCAGCTGGCCTGCCTCCATCCTTCTTGAAGGTAATGGAGCTTTTACACCAGGAAGCCGCAGGTGGGAGGCGGGTGGTGCCTGCGTTCACAGGTAAAGGCAGGAGGCGGGGGCCAAGCCCCGCCCCTTCTCAGGAAGGGCTGGATTGGTGGATGGCAGGAGCAGGGCGGGGCAGGGCGGGCTATATAAGGGCACTGGCGGGACGGCTGGGAGTTATTCTGTGGGTAGCCCCAGAGCTCAGGTAAGGCTTCTTGGAGGAGGAGACTGGGCACCAGGTGGAGCACCAGGAGCTCCAGGCTTGTGAGAACCTAGATGGAGGTACCCAGATTGACCCAAGGGTGGTAGGCAGCATCTTCTTTCGAGCCCTTTGGTTGACCGCTCTCTCTGGGGATGAGACCTGGTTTAGGAAAGTATCTAGAAATGTTTTAGGTGGCCTCACCTCAACTTGCTCTAAATCCAAGTATTTGTCTAGTATCATTTCTCTCTCTGGGCCTCAGTATCCCCCACCCTCCCAGCAGTGTACCAGGTCAGTGGCCCTTTCAACTCTCTTCTTTGGTGCAGGGTGGGGTGGTGGTGGTGGTTATGGGTTGGGGGGCCAGAGGAGCGATTAAACTGTTGGGGTTCAGTGGGCTTCATCTTTAACCAGCTGTGAGGCCTCATGCTTCAGGTTCCTAGATTGAAAATAGGTCTTTTGTTAAACGTGCCTTCCTGCCAGGATGGAATAAGATGACAGCCCAAAGGCATTTAGCACAGCTCCAGGCACTTAGGAAGCCCTCCGCAGTGTTTGGTGCTGCTGTTGTTACCCTCTGGCCTGGCCTGGGGTGCCAGGAGGAAGGCGAGGTGCCACAGCCTCCAGCAACTCTGCTTCTTTTCTGGCCTCGTGACCCCGTGCATCCTCGCTGGCCTCTGTTCTGAGCCTCTAAGTCTCTGCATCTATCCCTCTCCCATCCTGGCCCCCCTGTTGCCACCCCCTTGATCTGTGCAAGGGGGTAGATGCTAAGTCCTGAGCCTGCTTTCGCTACAGGTCACCCTGCCACGCCCCACCTTCACCCCTTATGAGATGAGTGAGGCCCAAGACCCTGCCTATGTCCCTGTGGTTACAACCCAGGTGAGGCTGGGGGGCTGCAGCTGGCAAGGTGGGGGCAATGGATTTCTCCATTCCCGGCAGCATCAGGAGCTCCAGGCCTTCCTCAACCTTCTGGGTGAGTTTCCTTGGGGGGCAGGTATGGGAGGGGGCTGCGGGGCCTGGTGCCAGAGCAGATGTGAAAGGTGGGATCCTGCTTGAGGCCTCTGCGCCTCCCCACAGGTGACCCAGCTTTGGCTGGTGGGAGGGGGTGCTGTCAGAAAGTGGGTTCGGTGGCAGCTTGGGCTTCGGAGCTTTTGATGCCACTCTTTGGGGGGCAGTGGTAACCCCAGGCCCCCTGTTTCTCTTTCCTATCCCTAGAAGACAGCTTTGTCCAGGATTTCCTCTCCACAGACCGCTGCTTCCGGATTTCGGATAAGGTGAGAGGCACAGTGGGGGTGAGGTTGAACTGGTGGGAATTGAGTGCAGCTACCTTATTGGGTCCCCGGTCTGGTGGGGGGTGCTCCCTTTCCACCCTTAGAACCCCTGTCTACACAGGCCCCTCCCCACCATTTTACCTTCTTTTCTTCCCTGCACGAAAACCTCCTCAGGTGCAAGTGAACCTGGCTGCCAGCTCCTAATCCCCAGAGGCTAACTCCAGCCCCCCTCATCTGTCTCTGCAGTATCTCCTGGCCATGGTGCTGGTCTACTTCCAGCGCGCCCACCTGAAACTCAGCGAGTATACCCACAGAAACCTGTTCTTGGCACTGTGAGTGGCGGAGGTGGGTGGGGGAGGCACTGTCCGGGAGGTGTGAGACGGGGCTGGGCAGATGCTGTGGCCTCTGCTCCCTGACCCCGTGCCGCTGTGGCTAGGTACCTTGCGAATGACATGGAGGAGGACCTGGAGGAGCCCAAATGTGAGATTTTCCCATGGGCCCTGGGAGAAGATTGGTGTCTTCAGGTGGGGAAATTCCTGCAGCAGAGGGATGAACTGTGGGCACGGATGGGCTTCCGGGCATTGGTGAGCCGCCAGTGCTGTGAGGAGGTGAGGCTGGGCTGTCGCCTGGGGTGGGGGGAAGGCTGGGCCTCCTCCGCATTCACTGTTCCCTCTGCCTCTCCCAGGTCATGGCAAAGGAGCCGTCGCACTGGGCGTGGACTCGGGAGCGGCGCCCCCACCATGGCGGGGTTCAGAGGGGCTGTCCGCAGGTCCCAGCCCGCTTCCCCCGAGGCCCCGGCCTGTCACCGCCCCCTTGTTCCCTCTGTGACTTGCCGCAGCAGCGCAGCCACCACCAACCTTTGCCTGCATCATCCAAGTGCCCTTCCCTGACCTTGGAGTGCCACCATCCTTATTCCCAAAATTATCTCTCGGCAGTCAAAAACCCCTGGGGTGGGGACTTCTTCATCATCTTGCCCCCCCAGATGCAACTGGAGCCAGGCACATACACCTTCCAGAGTGAGTTGGGGACAGGAGCTGGGGGGCTGGCAGAGCCTGGGAGGCAGGAGTGGGAGGGAGGGGCATGAAGGCTGGGGGCGAAGCTGTGCCCGCTCCTAGCTGTGTGGGCTCAGGTGGTTTCCTCTCTCTCAGCCTCACTCTCCCCTCTGCAGTCTTCCCACAGCCTTCCTCACACCCCAGACGCTGATGCTCCGCAGGGGGAAGAACAGCCCGCCACTGGCCACCGACCCATGCTCTACTGGCTGTGCCCCAACCTCCAGCCTCCTCTCTCGGGGGTCTCAGGCTGGCAGTGCCACCCCCACCCTTTCCTCCCAACCTGCAACTTCTAATAAATTTGTGTCCATAGGATACCAACTGCGCTTATGTCCTGGCTTGGCTCCTTGACCCAGGGTCGGGGCAGGGGTGGGGAGGGAGAGGTCTGCCAGGGTTAGGATGTGTGAGCACAGGCTCTGTCACAGCTCTGCCCCTTCCCACTGGTGGCCAGTTGCTATTGTCCTGAAACAGTTTCCTCTGTAACATCTGTCACCTATGGATGATGAGAGCTGCACAGTATAGATAGGATTAAGTGAGATGAGGTATATGCAGCCCTGAGAAGAAGGCCTGGAACTTATTGGGAATAAAGCTCAGATGGAAAACAGCTCTGTACTCAGTCTAGAAATGTCTTTAGGGGAAGGTCTCTTTAGGAATAAGACTTGGTCTCTTCCCTGGGCTGCAATCAAATAGAATATAGTAATTATTATAATACAATCCCCTATCCCCCCAAAAGACAGAGTGAGACCTCAAAGTGTAAATTTCTCATTAAGGAGATGATGGGAAGGCTTCCCAGTGGAGCTGGCATTTGGACTGGACCTGGACGTTGGCGGAAAGACTGTCTCATGCACCTGTAGTCCCAGCTATTCGGGAGGCTGAGATGGGAGCACTGCTTGAGCCCAGGAGTTTGAAGTTGCAGTGAGCTACGATTGTACCATTGTACTCTAGCCTCTGATAAAAATATTTTAAAATAAAGATTTGGTCTTCGGGGCCAGTTTAAAATTTAAATTCTAGGGCCGGGCGCGGTGGCTCACGCCTGTATTCCTAGCACTCTGGGAGGCCGAGGCGGGCGGATCGCTTGAGCTCAGGAGTTAGAGACCAGCCTGAGCAAGAGCGAGACTCTGTCTCTACTAAAAATCGAAAGAAATTGGCCAAACACCTAAAAATAGAAAAAATTAGCCGGGCATGGTGGCGGGTGCCTGTAGTCCCAGCTACCTGGGAGGCTGAGGCAGGAGGATCGCTTGAGCCCAGGAGTTTGAGGTTGCTGTGAGCTAGGATGATGCCACGGCACTCTAGCCCAGGCAGGAGAGTGAGACTCTGTCTCAAAAAAAAAAAAAAAAAAAAATTTAAATTCTAGGTCCCTATGTGACTTTGGCATGTTATTTAATCTCCCTGTGCCTCCATTGCCTCATGTGTAAAATGGTTTTTGGTTTTTAGTGACAGGGTTTCGCTCTGTCACCCAGGCTAGAGTGTAGTGGTCTGATCATAGCTGGCTGTAACCTTAAACTCCTGGCCTCAAGCAATCCTCCCTCCTTGGCCTTCCAAAGTACTGGGATTATAGATGTGAGTCACCACACCAGGCCTGGTGTTCGTGCTTTGGGTTTTGTTTTTTTTATATGTATAATTTTTAAGAGATGGGGTCTTGTGTTGCCCAGGCTGGTCTCTAACCCCTGGTCTCAAGTGATCCTCCTGTCTCAGTCTCCTGAGTCACTGGGATTACAGGTGTGAGCCACCAGGCCCAGTGTAAAATGGGTTTATACAAAATGAGTGTTGTGGGATTTGAATGGGTTAATCCCATAGAATGGCTTAGAACAGTGTCTGACATCAATAGACGGAAGCCATGGGTGTTCCAGTGGAAGGAGCTGCTGCTGCCTCTGGAAAGGCTACGGAGGAAGGTGTGTTTGGGGATGGAGACGGCTGGGGAGTCTGGACAGAGGTAAGAAAGCCTAGAGATTGAGGACATTAGATGCCAAGACAAGGACTAAAAAGTATTTTTAATTTGTTTTTCCAATAGGTATTATATTCACATGTACATTTGGAACCAAGAGTCACCCACCTTCCCCTGACTTTGGCCACCTGGTGTCCTGCCCTGGAAGCAACGACAGTAACAGTTTCTTTTGTCCTTCCAGAGCAAATCTAAACATACAGAATCAAATGTGGTATAATAAAAAATTTAAATATATTTTGTTTGGAACACAGAGCTCCCCAAATCCTTGGGATTTTCCGAGCATAGTAATGTCTTTTGTTCATAGCAAGCCCCCGAGTTATTCCTAACAAGATCATACCTGAGTTTATGCTAATGAGGTGGCAGGGTGGGGGCTGGGGGCTTAAGATTGGGTTATAAACACCCTTGAGCACATAGATGTGCAGGGAGGGTAGGAGTGGGCATGGAACCCTGAACCCCCACCCCTAACACCCTGCCATATGGATCTCTTCCATCTGGCTGTTCCTGAATTGTTACCTTCGCAATAATGTAATATTGTAGCAAGTAAAGCACTTTCCCAAGTTCTGTGAGTCTTTACCGAATTATCACACCTGAAAAGGGGTGGTGGGAACCCCCAAATTTGTAGATGGTCAGGCAGAAATGTGGGTCGCCTGGGCATCCTAGTTGTGGCTGGCATCCAAAGTGGGGCAGCCTTGTGGGATTGAACCCTTAACCTATTGGGTCTGTGCCAAGCCCAGGAGTTAGTGTCAGAATGGAACTGAATTGTCAAACACCCACCTGATATTGGAGAATTGGTGTGAAAAAATGTGTTAATATTTTGTGTGAGAAGTGGTGTCAGAAAAAAGACACCACACCAAATATGCATACATTTCCCACCTCTTTTCATTATGTGCTAGAACTCCAAGCATCCTATTGTACGCTGATGACCATAGTTTGAAGATGGTGCCTTTTTCCTACGTTCCTTTTTATAGCTGTGCCGTAGTCCCCTTCATGGCTACATACCGTAAACAAACTGTTCGGCTTCTGCTATTCCAAACACTGCTACGGTGAGTGACTTTGTAGGGTTACTATTATTCAAATGTAAAAAACATATCTGTGGAATGAATTCCTAGAAGAATTGCTCAGCCAAGGGCCAAGTCAAACTTGTCATTTTGGCGATTTTTGCCAAATGTCCCTCTATAGAAGCAAGCTATGCCCACACGCCCTGGGACTACAGGAGCATAAGACTTTCAATGAACATCCAGGTCTAGTCCAAATGCTACCTCCTCTGGGAAGCCTTCCCATCACCTCCATTAACGAAAATTTTACACTTTCGAGTTCTCAGTCTGTCTTTTCTGGGGAAGGGGGTTGTATTAAAATAATTACAAGATTCTATTTGATTGCAGCCCAGGGAAGGGACCAATGCCCCATCCCCCAGTAGCAGCATGAGAAGACCTATTTTCCAGAACACTCGCCACCCAGTGCGGTACCAGACTTTCTATCTTTGCCAAATTGACAAGTGGAAAATGGTCTCTTGGTGACGTTTTCATTTGCATTTCTTTTTTTTTTTTTTTGAGACAGAGTCTCACTGTGTTGCCCTGGCTAGAGTGAGTGCCATGGGGTCATCCTAGCTCACCGCAACCTCAAACTCCTGGGCTCAAGCGATCCTCCTGCCTCAGCCTCCCGAGTAGCTGGGACTACAGGCATGCGCCACCATGCCCAGCTCATTTTTTCTATATATTTTTAGTTGTCCAATTAATTTCTTTCTAATTTTTTTAGTAGAGACGGGGTCTCGCTCTTGCTCAGGCTGGTTTCGAACTCCTGAGCTCAAACAATCCGCCCGCCTTGGCCTCCCAGAGAGCCAGGATTACAGGCGTGAGCCACCGCGCCCAGCCTATTTGCATTTCTTTCTCTTTTGAGTGAGCTCAAGCATCTTTTCACATGTTTAAGAGCTATTTGTCATATTCTACTTGAACTGTGTTATCTGTGAAGCATCCTGTCTCATGTCCATTTCTCCACTGTTTTGGGTTTCTGATTGACATATTTTTTTCTTATTTATTTATATATTTAGACAGGGTCTTGCTCTATCACCCAGGCTGGAGTGCAGTGCCATCATCATAGCCCACTGTAACCTCAAACTCTTGGGCTCAAGCAATCCTCCTGCTTCAGCCTCCTGAGTAGCTGGGACTACAGGAGTGTGCCACCATGCCTGGCTATTTTTTAATTTTTTTTTTATAGAGACATGGTTTTGCTATGTTGCTCAGACTGGTCTCAAACTCCTGGCCTCAAGCAATCCTCTTGCCTCAGCCTCCCAAAGGCTGGGATTACAGGTGTGAGCCACCATGGCCAGCCAATATTTTTCTTAACAGTTTATGGGGTTTATGGCATTAAGATGTTAACTGTAAATGTTTTTTCACTTTATCATTTTATTATTACTGTATAGATTTCTTTTTAGGCTCTGCCCTCAAGTATAGATTTTTAATGTAATAAAAAATAAAATTTTATGGCCTTTGGGTTTTGTGCCATAGTTTAAAAAGACCCTTTCCACACTGAGATGGCTGGCCATATCTTTATTTTTCTTTTTTTACATTTAAACCTTGAGTTCATCTGGAATTTCTTCTAAGATGCAAATTATGAATCCAAATTTATTTTTTCCTCCTTTTTCTTAATGTCTCTTATTGCATAACTCTTTTCTTAACGGATTTGAAATAAACAGTACTTTTATCATCTACTAAATGCCTGTATGCATGTGGATCTGTTTCTAAATTTCTCTGTCTTCCGTTCATCTATATATGTCAGTACCCGTCTTTCATTATTACATTTTAAACATAAATTTCTCATGTTTTAACATCTGGTAGGGTTAATCTCCACTTACTACTTCTTTCGTTTTCAGAAGTTTCCCGCTTGTTTAATTTTCCATATGATCTTTAAATCAGCTTTTCTAGTCTCTTGCCACCCCTGAAAAACCTCTTAGAATTTTTTTGTGTGTGTGTGAAAAAACAAAGCGAACTCTGGGATCAACTTTATTGCTGATGGGTGTTAGAATTTTTAATTGTGATAAATTTATAGATGACTTTGAGAACTGACATCTTTATGAAGCAGCTTTGTATCCAGAACAAAGTGTCAATCCCCTGTCCTCTACTTCTTTTGGGTGGCACCAATGGCCAGTGACCCCCAAATTTGTACCTCTATTTTGAGCATCAGGCCTGTTCCCCATCCCCAGGCATCTCCCCTTGGCTAGGGGGATCCTC